CTCATTATTCTTTTCTGTGTTACTTTCGCAATATTCTTGTATCATAGGGCATGGGGAATTTTGTGAGGGAACAGGGGCTGTTAAAGAGAAATGGAAGTGACTAGGAAGTGGAAGCAACAAATTGTGACTTCTACAGGCTAACACAGACGCAAGTAGATGTCTTGCACTAAAGTAAAAATAGAAACATAATCATCTTACATCGAAATGAAGCAAACATTTAGCGTTCTGTCAGACAACTGTCTATACTACAATTCAGACACATCTGTTTCAGTTCACGTCTTCTCCCTCCTCTTCCATGTTGGCAGCAGAGCCTTCAGAATGATCTTCTTCTTCTTCTGTTTCCTTATCATTTTCAGTGTCAAGGTTGCCATCTTTAAAAGCCATTTCAGCATTTTTCACATGTGTGGAAGAGCTGTGAAGATTGCCAGCCAGCCTTTGTTCTGTGTCTGTAAAAATGGTGTTGTTTTCCTCTTCTGCTCGTGCTGTGCTACTGAGTTTTTGATAACTGACCTCTTGTGAAATTCCTCTTGACTGATCTATCACTCCTGTTTCTTGATCATTCTCAACCTGAAGGTCGTATGCTTTTACATCTCTTTCAGAAATATTTGCATGCTCCGAAGAATTGGTAAGACTGTCAGCCTGTTCTTGTTCTTGATGTTCTCTAATTATGCCAATTGCCTCTTGTGATTGTGTAGTTTCATCTGTTTTTTTGTTTCCGGTGTCTTTTGAAACTCTGTTGACATTAGAAGCAGCTGTCTTTGTAGGCACTTCCTGAGAACTCTGTGACATCTCAGATTCCGTATTGTTGACTTCTCTTTCTTGCCCTTCCTCAGCTATCTCATTCGTGTCAGATTTCCTGCCTTCTAGAATACCTTCTTCGGTGCCTGCTGATTTCTTAGGTGTTGTCTTACGTGGTGGAGCATCATCGAGGTTTGAATTATCATCTTGCATTCTCTGTCTCGTCATATCTAGTTTCTGTTCTGGTTCAGACCTGACTTGGTTTCCAAAATCTTCCTCCAGATTTTTAAATCGTTGGGGTTTATAGGTCATGCCAATCATGCGATCTTCTGGACCACATTTGTTTCTGCTGTCCTTTATCATACTCTTCTCTTGCTTATGCTTCTGCTTCTCTTGTTTACTGCCTCTAACTCTCTCATTTGTTGCACTTTCCTGTATTTCTTTGAAGAACTTTCTGTTTCTCATGCTTTCAACGCTTCTTCTTTCAGTGACCTTGCTCTTTGCAATTATTCGCTGACTCTTCCCTTTTGTCTTTCTTATCTGCTTGTGCTTCACTCTTGATGCATCTGTACTCTTGTGAGTCTCCTTCATTTCTAACTTCATCCCATCGTTATACTTCCGTCCAGACTCCTGGTTATTACCTTGAGAATCCGCAAAATCACCTCCAATTGCTGCTCCATGCTCTTTCCAATCTGTGGCATCTATTGCACCTACTTCCTTGCTGTGCTTTTGCACTTGACCACTATGATTGATAGTTTCCTCAGATGAATCCCCATTATCGTACCTTTTCTCTTCTAGGAAAATTTCTCCGGTTTTAGAACTCTCAGTGGTCTCTCTTTTGCCATCGAAAGTCTGAAAAATGGTGCTGCTTCTGTTGTCTGGATCATCTTCTTGAGCAGTTGTCAACTCCTGTTCTCCAGTATTGCTCCTCCAGTCAGCAGACCCCTCTCCGTCTTGTGCTTGTCCTCTGTCTTCACCTTGCCTCGTGGCTTTTCTATGTATATTTTTTGTTGAATTTTTCTGGTCGTCTCTTTTGATGGATTCATGCTGTTCTTCGGTTTCTCCTCCAGTTTCTTCTTTTGTACCTGCAGCCTTGGTGGTGAAGTTAATAGCTGGATTTGATGGATCATCTGCACTCACTGACCAGACCTTTACGGGTATGTCACTTTCGGTTTCATTCTGTTGCAATGATTCAGAAAGAAGCTTAGCCTGGGACTCCTCCGAGTTCATTTCTGTAAGTTTTTCTCTAAGCATCTTTATTTCATCCTGTTTTTCTTCGAGAGCTACTTCGATTATTCTTTGTTCATCTTTAAGAGAAGAGATTGTTGATCTCATTTCCATGATCCTGCTTTCAAGATCCCTTTTCTGCATTCGAAGCCACTGCATCTTGGATTTCATTTCCTCCGCTTTCCTTTTAGCTTCTTTCGTATGATCTCTTTCTTTCTGTCCCACAGATGACATACTATTAGTTAGTTTTTTTTTTTTTTGGTTCCTACCTAGTGTCCGGTATCCACATTGGATCCCGATCGAGCTGGGAAGTCCCAGCTTAGAGGGTAAAACGCTCTCTATACCCTGGGGACTTGAACCCGAGACCTCTAGTTAAGGACCATTCCATCATAAGCCGGTAACAAATACTATTAGTTTGTGTGGTGTTGTATTCTTTAGCATACAAGTTTGTTTCTGATCTGTCATTTCAGAATCAAAGGCTCAAACTAAATCGAAAAAGTTTATCATTTTTCTTAAAATCTTAAAACCCATCAACTGCAGCAAATGTTTTATTTTTCAAACCCTCATGAACAAAATGAAAGTTCAGGTCGACGGTCTAACAACTGAGCTACTAAAATCCCGCAACAAATGGTTTAAAAGTCTAACCTAGAGCCACAAACAGTAACACGACATACATGCATGGCTAACCAGAGTCGTGGTGGAGTGATAAATGCTTCTTCATCCTTAATTAGAGATTTCTGGTTCGAATCATGGACATGGAACTGACAGAGACACACAGAAGAAAAAAGAAAGAGATTTGAGAGAGTACCTGCAAGAGGAGTTTAAGATGGATGAGTTCAATTTGTTTATCCTTAACAAGGAGGTTGAAGATGCGCCTCTCTCTGAGCTTGTGTAGAATGATTACTCCAAATATTGCAACCCCAAAAGCAAGAAGCAATAACACTGCATATGTTGTTCTTCCTCTGTTGTGACTCTGCATGTGTCCCTTCATGCTTCCCCCTTTTGCCATCTCACTTTCACTCTACAAATTTATAAAAAAAATAAAAATGGAGGAAACAAGAATGAAATCCCCCCTCTCTCTAGCTCTTCCTATATGAAAGTGTCACATCTTGCATGTTTCTTGTCATCTCAAAGTGGTTTTCAAACTGCCTCCTCCCCTCCCCTCTCTTTTTTTCTATTTCTATGCACACACACATGGAGGTATATAATGGTGTGTATGACAATGTTTTTAAAAATATTCATGTTTGGTTGATAGTTTATTTTAAAAAAAAATACTAATCCCTATGTTCCTTTTTAGTTGTTATGTTGCGTTTTTCAAAAGTTAATTTGATTGATTTTCAAAGCTAACTAGATTACATTAATTCGTTATTTTAAACTAAAAATTTAGATATTCAACGACTATACGAAAAGTACTATAAATTGCAATTTTTTACATCATTATGATTAAAAAAATACATTGTAACATGTTAGTCAAAAATTTTATCGTTTGACTCTAAAAAGAAAATCATGACAACTAAAAAGAAATGGAAGGAGTACTATCTTTTTTTGGGAAAACAACTTCTACAAGCGACATTCATTTTTTTTTGTCCTACAACACACGAGATCTCACCCCCACTTCCTATAGCTCCCACCTCCACCACTCCACACTCCTACCTCAATCTCGTCCTATAATAACAAAATCAACATATCGAGTGTAATAAAAATAGATATGTTATTTTCAATAGACCTGGTTGTTGTTGTTGTTGTTGTCTAACACCAGAAAATTACTTATTTTTTAAAAGAAAATTTTCTCTGCACACTTTTACTTGTTCACTCTTTAAAAAGCAGATTTTTACTTTTATTCGTCACTTTTAATAAACATATCAAAAAGATAATTATATTTTTTTATGTTTTACCCTTAATATTAATTACTTATTTTTCAAATCATTTTTCAAGACCTAATATTAAACATCAATTAATATAAGTATTATGATAAATACTAACATAATTATGTCCGAATCAATGTGGAAAGTCTAAAATGGACAAGTAAAAATTAACGTAGGAAATGTTTTTGTTGGAACCAAACAACACCCCAAGGAAAAGAGTGGCGGAAATAACAAAGTTAGAAGGAAAAATGTGCATGACATGGGGAATGTACATTTCTTGCATTTCTTTTTAGTTTCGTTTAATACTAATAAATACATTCTTTTGCCTGATTGGCCACCCGGTGTCTTTGGTACTCATATTTAAGTCAGACTAAATTTAGATTCGTATCGAAAAGTCTCATATTAAGGATAAAGTACTTCTTAACAAAGGCGACTTTATACTCAAGGAAATTCGTACTCAAAATCTCTGATTAAAAATAAAGAGTACTTACCATTCCACCACAATCTCGATAACCGTATTTCATTGCAAGATATATAGTTGGCTTTTCTATTTTTTAAAAGTCGCTGAGAGGGCAGGCAAAAACTGTAACACCGTTTATCGTGATCAACCAGGTCTCACTAGTCTTTGCATACTTTAATTGTGACAGTGGCTTTAATTTAGTTTGTTTCTTTTCCTTTTTCATCCGTTACAACAGCAACATACACAATATAATCCGATAAACAAAGCCAATAGAAGCTAAGGTGTTCTGTATATAACTTTATTTTTAAAATTACAGTAATAAATTTATTTTAACTTGAAACATCATTTTAAATCCCTAAACGATTGAGTCAATCTCTAATTTTGTGTTCCGGAAAATCAAATAAATAAACAAATATACATATACTAGAATTTAAAAAGCTACCTCTATTTCATATGCATGATATACTAGAATTCTTGGAGCATTGACAAAGGAAGTTCAATTATGTATAACAAGCTGTGTCTAAAAGATATATAAAGCTCAACAGCACCTAGAACTAATGTTAGAATCTGTGTCTTGCAAATGTGCAAGAGATCTCAAATTCTCACGTTCCAGTGTGCATTATGCCAACAGGTCCCACCATCAACTCTAAATGAGGAGTTGAGTTGCCTTTTTTTTTCTTTCCAGAAATAGAATTAAATAAAGAATGAGATAGTCTATATCCTGTATCGATCATAGGATCAAGGACAAAAAGAACATTGTACTACAATCAATATAATTGTTGCTATGGTGCAAAATCTACATTATCTGAATCACACGAACTGCAAAATTCAATATCATTGTGAACATATTTCAGGATCACGACGATTACATAAATATGTTTCTCATGATCAGCAGCATGATGGTGCTCATCCTCGCCTTGGTGTCAAAGACAACATTGTCATTCATTCACTGGTGCAGGCTTAAACTTGATGAATCTGACTTGACTACGTAAAAAAAAAACAAGCAAAAAGTTGCAGCTGAAACTGAAAACAGGACGGAAAAATTTGCTACTACTCAATATGACATTGATTTCTTACAAATGATAAGCACAACAATGTAAATGAAAACAGTACCTTTTTATCTATATGCTGCAGCTCCCCCGACCAGTAAGGCTCGGGAGACAATCAGGCGGGAGCTGGGCAAATACTGCCCCAATTTCAGGGGCATCCAGTGGGCAGGATAGGCCCAACCAGAGCATGTTCCAGTGAAACCTGATGAAGGTCTAGAAGTGGTCTCTTGAGCCATAGATATAGTGATGATTGAAGCTCTACCTTGGTTAACCACGTACAACATTACATGGTTAACCAAGTACTGCCCCAGGAGGGGACCTACCCGATGTGCAAACTCTAGGCCTGTCTCAACTTTCATGGTGAGGACTCAATCAAGACTGCTTGCATTCCACTGGAGCCAAACCAAACTGGAGCTGATCGTGTCAAGAACCACATTGAGACACTGGCATCCGAAGAAGGTGTGGACATAGAGAAAAGGTATTTTTACTGATTTTTCTCCTGAAATGATAATTGAAATATACATGAAAATGAAGTCTATTAATTCGGACTGATTCATCAGAACTGTGCATACAACAAACAAACTATGGTTTTGTGTAAGCTAAAAAGAAGTATTTGAATGGGATACAAAAGAGCATTTCAGGATGTTCAAACATAAACGAAGCTTCATCACACATTAATCCCGTTTTCATGGACAGCTTTTCTAGCGTTTGAGACGTCATATGGAACCTCAAATCTCTCTTTATTTGTTACTTAATATGCCAAACTTCTATAGTGATTTCATATGACAGTTTCATATAGCATTCCCCAGCAAGAATCTTTGCTGATACTTTCACAGACTAGATAATTTTTAGCACTCCAACACTCGAACTTTGTTATACTTCATGTTCTTATCCGCGAAGCAGCCACTATACAGCAAAGACAAATGGGATACAGGATTTTCAATATGAGCCCGACCTCCACTTCCACCTGATTAAAATGGAAAAATTAGTTGAATCTAATATGACAATCTGTAGTTTAAGCCTGTTAAACAAGAGAATGACACAAAGAACAACTACTGCGTCTCATTCATGAACTGTTGAACAAGACAGTACAGTTCAATACGATATAGGCTGTGGTACTTGATGTTGCTCAGACTTTCCAAAATTGTTACTGCACCCATGTTGGATTCCAAAAATGCTCTACTTTTGGAGAATTTCCCGTCAACATTTTTTAAGAGTTGAGCAATATAGGTAGTACTGCTCTATAACTAAAAGATAGAGAAAATGCATGATTATGAGAAGGAAACAAAGTCATCTTTTGGCAAAGGCCCAAACTCAAGACCATCACACTGCAGTAGGAAATAAGTCGGGACCATAAAACTGTAATCAAAACAAGGGATAAATCTTTCTATTACTATGCGTATTTTGGGATTCCTGCCAGAAATAGTCATTGTGCATAATACGATTTTTCAGATATTTTGCCTACTCAATCAACTCTCTACATCTATTCTCTTTATTGTTGAAGAAAAACATATGATCTGAAAAATCCGAAGTTGTGATTTCAAATCAATGTTGATTAGCTAACAGTTTAAAAAGTCTTTTAAAAGCGCAAGCATGTTACTTACTGTAAGAATGTTATCGTGGCCCAAAGAAGAATTTCCAGAGCTGAGAATGTAACTATGTTCATCAGCAGCAAAAGAATACTCCCTTTCGGGTCTAAGGAGTGGAGCAAGAAGGGATGTCGCGGTAGGATGCTTCCTCTTTAACCTCCACCACCAACTTCTGCTTCCTTTTATCTGTTTGAGAAAGTCAGCTAGTTGCTGCCTTGTTTCCAAAAAGAAGGGAAGTATTTCCAGCTCTGGACAATCTACGACTTCTATAGTCGTTAACGAATCACAAATCATTGGACCTCTGCATATGCTTCTCAGTCTTGGTATAGAAACTAATCTTAATTTTTGCAAACTTGGGAGGACCACTTCACCGTTGTTCTCTTGAATGATCTCTTCATTTTCCGCTTCAGTGACTATGATCTCCTCCAGCATCGAACAGTGTTCCAACTCGAGCTCTTCGAGGTTTTTGAGATGCTGCACTAACTCAAGTGGTAACAGAGTCATGAGATTATCACAAGCAATAACATTCAACACCTTAAGGTTTGAAAGAGTGCCTGTTGGTGGAATCCCCTTACATATATTCTGCAGTCTGCTCAGGCCCTCAATCTCTAGCAACTCTAAATTAGGAAATGTGCCCCACTCGGGAGTTATAATCCACTCCATCTCATCACAGTACTTTATTTTGCAACGTTTCAGGTCGGAGGAAGCGTTCACAATAAACATAGGTAAGTGAGTGATTCCAGAACATTCATGAATGACCAACTCAAGTATACCTGGCAACCAAGAAGAGGCTTCTGTTTCAACAATGTGAGTCCCAAAGAATCCTACGCTATTTTTTCCGGGTAGTTTAGAGGATTGGGGATAGCCTACACAAAATTTGAAACTCTCAAGTGTGTTCCAGTGATCTGATGAGGCATAATAGTTGAAGTCCTGCAAGTTGCTGAAATTGGCTTCAAGGGTTGTCAAGATGGTGCAGCGTTTCACAACATCAACAAAATCTGGACCGAGCATTAGAGGTTGCCATAGACCAATAGTTAAGAGACTCTCCAGAAATCTGTATGTTCCTAAAATTTGAATATCAAATTCATGAAGTGTAGTGTGGGAGAGATCCAGATGCTTCAAATTGAGTAACATTTCCATCCCCGGGGGCGCACACTCAATCGATGTAGAAGAGAGATCTAAAACCCTCAGCTCCTTTAGCCTTTCCATTGTTGGCACGTGATGCAAGTTCCAACAACTTCGTAGAAGCAAAGCATGAAGGTTTTCGAGATTAGAAAGTGAATCAGGCAACCCAGAGATGCCCGTGTAAGATAAGTCCAGAACTTTGAGACTTTTTAGATGGTTAAAGAAAGAAGGATGTACTCCCTTGGTCAGTGAATTATACTGCAATAGCAAGGTGGTTAACTGAGGACATCTCGGTTCCAAATTCAAAGAGTTCAAATCATTTCTCATTAACGAGATTCTTTCAAGCCCTATGAGCCATTCACTCTCAACTGGTGGGACACGCATCTCATGTCCTGCTCGGATCATAAAGAGTGGGCTCTCTCTTGTAACAGCTATTGCCATATCCCTAATGAGGTCATGCATCTTGACATATTCATTCAAACTACCTTCTTGACATCCAATGATCTCTAGAAGGCACGCATGTTTCAGTTCATCTAATATCATCTTTCCCTGCAGCATCTTGGATTCTCCGTACCCAAGATTATCCAACAGGCCTTCCCATGTCCAGTACTTAATCAGTTCTTCGGTCTCGATATGATGATCCTCTGGGTACAATGTGCAATAAAGAAAACATGAACGAGTCACATTGTCCTTCAGTCTTTCATAGCTAAATCTCAGACGTGCAAAGACTCGATTCTCCATGCCTTCTATTCTTCCCGTTGCACTTTTCAGCTGGCTTAATGCATTTTTCCATTGCCTCAGATCATTTTCTCTTCTTAAAGCCCGACCAACTGTTACAACAGCTAGTGGGAGACCTCCACACTCCTTCGACACATCCTTGGCAACAGCTTGTAATGTTGGAGATGCTAGCACCTCCTCACCGACCTTTTGTTTAAAGAGGTTCCATGCTTCTTCCTCTGAAAGAACACTAACTTCAACTTCCCTCACTGATTCCATGCCACGACAAACTATCATGGATCTAGTAGTTATTATCAACTTGCAGTCATATCCATAATATGGGTATGGGATTCCTATAACCTCCAAAGGAAATGCTTCCCACAAATCATCTATAATTAAAACAAATCTACTTCTTCGCATCAACGCTTCAAGTAATTGAGCTGCTCTTGTCATTTCATCATCTTCATCGTCAAAAGATAAACCTATTGCTCTAGCAATATCCTTCTGCAATTTCTGGACATTTGAATCGTTGGATGCTGTGACCCAAATGACATTATCAAAAATTGTGCTCTCTCTCAAAATACGATTATTGATTTCTACGAGGATGGATGTCTTACCCACACCCCCCATTCCATAAATACCAATTATCCCAGAGTGTTCATCATTCAAATACTCCCATACAGTCTCCAAACTTCTTTGAGCAGATTCTCCTACTAATGAGGATGCTGGCAATATCTTTCCCCTCCGAGGCATCATATCAACCAACAAAGCATCTGGAAATAAGCTCTGTCCCAGGAGCCTGTCAACTTCTTTAATTTTCTTATTGATGTGTTTCCCCTGCTTAAATCGAGACATATAATTTGGCAAACATCTGTTTAAACACCTCTTGTCTACAGTAAGTTTCTCTTGCATGCTGGTAATACTACTTGTGAAGTTGTAATCTTTCTTACATTGATAAGCCACATGTTTACCTCAGCCTTTGGCTCCATACCACGCCTTACATTTTCCACATGTAACTTCCTTTTTATATCCTCCTCCCGAGCTTTAAGCAATTCCATCTTTTCATTAAGTCTATTTGCTAATGCACGAGGCCTTCTCAGGTATGTACATGTTTCAGAAACGGATTGACGAGAACAGTTCTCTCCACAAAAACACTGCATCATGCTAACCACTGCACCAACAATTTCCATGGCAAGTATGTCTGCGAAACAACAGAAGGAAAAGATAAAGAAAAACAAAAGCAACAATGAAAGGCTCATCTAAGTAAAAGATATTGAATCCAATTCAAGCCTAAGAGCTAAATTATGAGATGAAGAATATTCAAGACCAAGAGACTACAATCATATCCCAGATAAAGTCGGACTCTAACACGCCTCCACCCCTTCCGGGAACTCTGATACACGAGATTGGGAAATTACACAGTTGGTTAAACTAGTCAGGAATGGATACAACAGTTAGTTAGGACAGTTACAATTCTGTTCATTCTGTTAGGATCAGTTAGCTAGTCAATTCATTCTCACTTTCTATGCTCTCTTCTTCTTCTTCTACTTGAATTGGCTGATCATACTTGAAAGTCTTTGTAACTTTCCTGCACAGACTATGAATTCTTCATCTGTAATTTCTGAATGTCAGCTATCATTGGTATCAGAGCTGGGTGATTCTCGGCATCAATGGCGAAATGAACAAGGGAAAATGGAGAAAGTGCTAGTGATTCAATGACTAAAGGAGGTGATTTGTGTGAGATGATGCAGAAATTGATTACAGAAATTGGAGTTGTAAATGGTGAAGTTACTACTCTGAAAATATTGGATGAAACCGTGATAGAGTTGGAAGAGAAATTAGAAGGAACTCGGAGTGATTTTACTCCCATGGAGAATGGAACTGAAACTTCCAGGGAGAGACAGTCCATTCATGATGAAAAACCCTGTGAATTACCATACCCTCCATCAGAGTATATCAACAGAAGGAGGCTAAGTTTGGAGGAGATAAATGAGAAAAGGTTCAAAGTATGTACAGGGCCACAAACGTAAGAATCTGAAACGTGCTCTATCTTCTAGATTTAGAGATTCAAATTGAGCAAGTTTTGGAGGAGCAAGATGGAATTGGACACATCTATGGAGGAGATGGAGATACCTATTCATGCTCTAAATGGTTCACATGAGATTTACAACTCTAAAAGACCATTACACATTGTAGTTGATACTGGAACTTATCATAATTTCATTCATCCTCAACTATTGTGGGATGCAATACCTGCACCATAAATTGTCTAATTGATAAACAAAAAATACTGACTCCGCCTTTGTTTATTCCGAGTATAGTTGGTAACAAAGAAAAAATAGGGAGTAGGTATAAACATTCCTCACACTATCAATTGATATCGAACTACATTTCATCACAGAATATTTAACAGATATTCATGTATACATTATACACATCAAAATATTCATTAACTTACTATGAAAAAAGATGGACAGAATTTGAATACTAACCACTTTGATTGAGAGGCTCCTTATCTTCTTCTTTTTTAATGAAAAAATATCACAAGGAAATTATCAATATGATTGATGAGTGTGAATACTATACAATGAAGATAATTTTGCCATGTAATGTATTGAGGCAATGAAAGTCTAAGGCCATCTACGAGTTGACTTGAAGTCAATCTTCATATTTATTGTATATAAGTAGAAGCTTCATCTGTGATTTTCCTGCCCCACACAATCTCCAAATTGCTGCTGAATTCTTTTTTGGTTTCACATTACGTGTTTGGTATCTAAATAGGTGCTCGAATAAACAGACACTACTAATAGATTTTCTTTTCAATTTTTAGGATTTAAAGTCGAGACCTTTGTGATGTTAAATTTAAAATATGTCAAATACATTAATTAACCTTTAATCTAGCGGTCTTAAAGCAAAAATATTGTTTCAACTATATGTAACACTAATATAAAACATTACCAAATATCATAGGTTAATACTAGGATGATAAAGTCTAAAGAGTGTACCATAATAATCCATATATATGGTTTCATCGTGACATTGTCACTTGGATGAACATAGAGCCGTCAATATGGGCTAGGCCTGTTGGGCCGGCCTGGCCTAATCCGGGATTTAATAGGGCTGGGCTAAAAAAATTGGAGCCCATTTAAAAAAAGGGCTTTTTAGCCTGGCCTGAATAAGCCTGCTGATTTGTGGGGCTTGAGAAATATAGGTAGGGCCGGCCCGTGGGCTAATACAAATTAATTAAAAAATATAATATAATATTAAAATTTAAAATTAAAGAGATCCAAACTCAAAATCTATTTAAAGTTTTTTAGGAAATCACTAAGTATAGAAGTTGCATCCACCATGAAAATGTCCAAACACTTGTTGCTAC